GTATATATATATATATATATATATATATATATATATATATATATATATATATATTAAAATTAAAAAGAGGGAATTAATTAGTACATTGTGGCCACAATTTTCCTAAAACATGGCCATGAATTAAGAAGTTGTGTGAACAAATTTGTGACCATGGTATGGCTCCATACTTTCCTGAACCATTTTTTGAAAATGTAAAACAATTGGTCAGGTACACACACACACACACACACACACAGAGACAGAGGTGTCCTATCAAAGTAATCACAAGTGTAGTTCATCAGATCAAAGAGATAGTTCACCCCCAAAGAATTGTCATAATTTTCTCACCTTTATGTTGTTGCAGTCCAATCCCATGGGATTTTGGTTAATCATTGAGAAACAATTTTTTAATGAAACCTGAGAAGTTTCTGTCCATCCATTGAAAGTCCAGAAGATCTAAAAAAAAAAATATATATATATAAAAGGATTGCAAAATGGATTAAACTGCTCAACTCAATATTAAAGTTTCATCTGCACTTCCATGTTCACCAAATGTGATGTGTTTTATGTATGTCAATCACTGTTTAGATGTAATTTATAAAATAATCAATTAAACCTGTTCATCATATAAAGCAAACATATCTCTTCACAGCACTTGGATTAAATCACTTAATTACGTTTGGACTTGTTTTACAGCACCTTTGTGACGTTTTTGAAACTTTTTTTTCTTGTAAGTCAATGATGGAACCTCTAAGGTTTCATTAAAGGTATCTTGTGTTTCTAAGATTAACCAAAGTTTAATGGATTTGGAACAACATGAGGATAAATAATGACGACTTAAAATCTGAGCTATGATTATTTTCTGCTAGCATTTGACAGCAAGAAATTGTCACAATCCTTCTTGTCTTCATTTTTCAATTTGAATTGTCCAACTGCTTTTTTTGGGCTGATTTATGTCACAATGCAATGAAGAGCAACAAACAAAATCTGTACTAGTTTTGACTAGTTAAATGATTTTTATCGTTTTTTATCTTTATTGTATCTTTACACAGCGCTCCATATAAAAACAAGGCATTCCAGTCGTCACCCGAGGACTGGTTCAAGAGAAGGCAGAGATCAGTAGACAATCAGCATGACGTGGCACCAAGGACGCACGTCAACAACAGCAGCTCTCACAACAACAAAACCCACCGTGGGCTAAACGATGGTTCAGACAAGCAAACTGGAAAGGTCTGATTCTATTATGGCCATTTGGATGATTTGATTCTATATAATATTTCACATTTGAAAGCCTAATAAAGTTTTTCAATCTTTCAGATACTGAAGGACAACAGAGCTGAGCCTTCCTCTCAGGACAAAAGAATCAGCAGGAGATCAACAGACAGAGGTGCCTGTTCCCTTTAAGAAGCCTTTTAATAATAATTTCCTGATTAAATTGTAAGTGGATGATTTGTTTCTGCTTTCAGGTTACAGAGGGACCAAACCTTCCCCAAACCCCGCAGAGAGAGCCAAATCAGCCATTATATGTAGTAGCACATTTGAAATGAAACTTGCTGATTTCCCTGAATTAGGTGATATCACACCCAGCAACCCTACAGCAGCTTCCCTGCACCAGGAACCATGGGTATGCGCTGGTGCAGTCATGCCAGCAGAGCGTCAGAGGTCACCAGCACCCATCTGTAAGGTAACCTTCATGCATGGTGGTTTAGGCCAAATAACACATTGTTCTGTTAAAGCACAAGCTGTTTACTAACATGTGCTGGCTTTACGGCCTCAATTAAACTTTTTTTTATTCTTATTAGAATGTACCAAAACGAAGAACCAGGTCGGCACAGCAAGTCCCGTCCAGTGGAAAGTGTGACTTGTCATCAGCTGTCACAGCAGGTGAAGATCTGCAAACATTCTTCAGAAATCTTTATGTATCCCCCAATTGTAAGTCGCTTTGGATAAAAGCGTCTGCAAAATGACTAAATGTAAATGTCAGGTGCTTTATTCAGAGCAAGATGTTAATGTAACCAAGTTCAGCACAGTTATGCTAGTTTTATTGTAAATGGGGGGCAGTTAATGTGTGTTCGGCTCATAAAAAGACTTTAAGACATGACTAAGAACGCACCGTTATTTTGCACAATTTGTAGTTGTTTTAGGGAAAACGCATGTTGTTTTTTCTTAATGAATATTCAGTTTCACTGGGAAATGTATCAAATTACAGAAGTGGGTTGTAAATCTTTTTAAATTAGATTTTCAAGTTAAAAATCAATACTAAAAGAAATAAATGTATAAAATTGTTTAAACCCCAATTTGATTTAGATCAGGACAGTGCAGGATCCAATCCCACTGGATCTTCTGTTCAGTCCTGGGCAAACATTGCTTCTCAGCCTCCCAGAGTCATCCAGAAAAGCCTCAAAGCCAACACATTGTCTCAGGTAAACTGCTGCATTGTTGATCAGCATTTTCAACATGTACTATACAAAATAGACACAATTTGCACCTTATTACTGTGTCTAGGAGGATTTAACTACACAGCCAGTAGAACAGAAAACAGAAAAGAAGAAGAGGAAGAAAAAGAAGAAATCCAAAACAGCATCTGAAAAAGCAGATGAGTCCTTAGAGGAACATCTGATACAGCAGGAGCCTCCAAAGTTTGAGGTAAAATCTGTCAAATCTGTATGTCATGTATGATTTGATATTTTCTGAAATTAGATTTTAGAAGTTTCATGTTTAAGTTAAGTTTTGTTTGTTTGTTTTTGTAGGATGAAGAAGAGTTTCCAGACCTGTCACTTGCATTTGTGAGTTCATTCGTTTGGGCTGAGCACCTTTTCATGCCAGCCGTTCATATTATATGTTCGTTATGTTTGCACCTATTAATTGTATCATCTGTAATTATATTAAATCAGGAACTGAAAGGACATTCAGTAGCACAAAAAGAGGGACTGTCCTTGCACAAAGGCACTACACCCACTTCTGCATCCAGTGACCCTAAGAAAACACAGGTTGGTGTGTGTTTCCAGTGCGATGTTTAAACCTCATCTAATCTGAAAGGATGTGTTAAAGGGTTAGTTCACCCAAAAATGAAAATTCTGTCATTAATTACTCACCCTCGTGTTGTTCGAAACCTGTAAGACCTTCGCTCATCTTCGTAACACAATTTAAGATATTTTTGATGAAATCTGAGGGCTCTCTGACCCTCCCATAGACAGCAAGGTAACTACCACGTTCAAGGTCCAGAAAAGTACCAAGATGATCGACAAAGTAGTCTTTTATTGTATCTGGGTCAGCGCCGCCACACACTCGCGTCATGGTACTGTCGTGAACGTGCGTCCAAAGTGACGCAGTAGAGACGAAAATGTGGAATAAAGTCGTTATTTTTGTTTTCTTTGCGCAAAAAAAGTATTCTCGTAGCTTTGTAACTTGCAAAATGACTAAATGTAAATGTCAGGTGCTTTATTCAGAGCAAGATGTTAATGTAACCAAGTTCAGCACAGTTATGCTAGTTTTATTGTAAATGGGGGGCAGTTAATGTGTGTTCGGCTCATAAAAAGACTTTAAGACATGACTAAGAACGCACCGTTATTTTGCACAATTTGTAGTTGTTTTAGGGAAAACGCATGTTGTTTTTTCTTAATGAATATTCAGTTTCACTGGGAAATGTATCAAATTACAGAAGTGGGTTGTAAATCTTTTTAAATTAGATTTTCAAGTTAAAAATCAATACTAAAAGAAATAAATGTATAAAATTGTTTAAACCCCAATTTGATTTAGATCAGGACAGTGCAGGATCCAATCCCACTGGATCTTCTGTTCAGTCCTGGGCAAACATTGCTTCTCAGCCTCCCAGAGTCATCCAGAAAAGCCTCAAAGCCAACACATTGTCTCAGGTAAACTGCTGCATTGTTGATCAGCATTTTCAACATGTACTATACAAAATAGACACAATTTGCACCTTATTACTGTGTCTAGGAGGATTTAACTACACAGCCAGTAGAACAGAAAACAGAAAAGAAGAAGAGGAAGAAAAAGAAGAAATCCAAAACAGCATCTGAAAAAGCAGATGAGTCCTTAGAGGAACATCTGATACAGCAGGAGCCTCCAAAGTTTGAGGTAAAATCTGTCAAATCTGTATGTCATGTATGATTTGATATTTTCTGAAATTAGATTTTAGAAGTTTCATGTTTAAGTTAAGTTTTGTTTGTTTGTTTTTGTAGGATGAAGAAGAGTTTCCAGACCTGTCACTTGCATTTGTGAGTTCATTCGTTTGGGCTGAGCACCTTTTCATGCCAGCCGTTCATATTATATGTTCGTTATGTTTGCACCTATTAATTGTATCATCTGTAATTATATTAAATCAGGAACTGAAAGGACATTCAGTAGCACAAAAAGAGGGACTGTCCTTGCACAAAGGCACTACACCCACTTCTGCATCCAGTGACCCTAAGAAAACACAGGTTGGTGTGTGTTTCCAGTGCGATGTTTAAACCTCATCTAATCTGAAAGGATGTGTTAAAGGGTTAGTTCACCCAAAAATGAAAATTCTGTCATTAATTACTCACCCTCGTGTTGTTCGAAACCTGTAAGACCTTCGCTCATCTTCGTAACACAATTTAAGATATTTTTGATGAAATCTGAGGGCTCTCTGACCCTCCCATAGACAGCAAGGTAACTACCACGTTCAAGGTCCAGAAAAGTACCAAGATGATCGACAAAGTAGTCTTTTATTGTATCTGGGTCAGCGCCGCCACACACTCGCGTCATGGTACTGTCGTGAACGTGCGTCCAAAGTGACGCAGTAGAGACGAAAATGTGGAATAAAGTCGTTATTTTTGTTTTCTTTGCGCAAAAAAAGTATTCTCGTAGCTTTGTAACTTTACAGTTGAACCACTGATGTCACACGGACTACTTTGTCGATCATCTTGGTACTTTTCTGGACCTTGAACGTGGTAGTTACCTTGCTGTCTATGGGAGGGTCAGAGAGCCCTCAGATTTCATCAAAAATTAAGATGAACGAAGGTCTTATGGGTTTCGAACAACACGAGGGTGAGTAATTAATGACAGAATTTTCATTTTTTGTGTAAACTAACCCTTTAATCAGAATGTCAAATTAATGACAATGCTTTGTCTAAGAAATGACACGGTCGCACATTGTAATTATTTCATATCCCATCTTATTTCAGCAGACTAGTCAGAAGAAGTCAAAAGTTCCTGTAAAGCTTGACCTTGGAAACATGCTGGCCGTTCTTGAGGAGAAGCAACAGTCTCAAAAATCCAAACAAGACCAGCGACCACTAACACTTTCAGGTATTTGGCTGAAAAATATTAGTGGATACTCTTCGTAGGACAATATTACAATTAATATTACTGGTGTGTTAGTTGGAGGAGCTCTACATGTAGTCCACAAAGAACCTACAGTTCAGAAAAAGCCATGGCAGCAAGAGAAAACACCGCACAACCCGCTGGACTCCACCTGTCCACTAGTGAAGAAGGGCAAACAGCGAGAAGTTCCCAAGGCGAAAAAACCAACACCACTCAAAAGAGTGAGTCCAGTGTCCACCTAAAGTTTCACTGTGTGATTTCTGTGCCACTGGTGTTACCTAACATGACTGGAGTGTCATTTAAAGTTTGGTGCAGAAATGACACTTACCTTTTTAAACCTTTTTTTCTTGTGAATTTTGAGTCTGTTTTTGATCAGCATTCCTAAAGATGTTTTGCTATTTGAACCCTTGAGGTCATTCTTCGGGAGAGAGAGGAAAGGAAACAAAACCGCCTGCTGGAGGAGAGAGACCCGGCCCAAGTGGCCACCGAGGCTGGAGAAAAGGAAACTAGTAATAGTGAGAATCCTTCTGAAACAAGCCACGCTGACCATGACCAACATCTTCACACAGGTACGAAACACAGCACTGTAATATATTCACATGTGATCATTGTAGACAATTACTGAGGTTGATCAGAATATGAAATGTTTTAGTGTTGTCTAGCTTGGTAGCATCAGTGTTTTTCTAATATGCAGAATGAAATAGTCATAATTTGTATCAGATATAGATGACAACCCTGAACTCGTTGGTACTAAGGAGTCATCCCAAGGCGAAAAAACCAACACCACTCAAAAGAGTGAGTCCAGTGTCCACCTAAACTAAATCACTGTGTGATTTCTGTGCCACTGGTTTTACCTAACATGACTGGAGTGTCATTTAAAGTTTGGTGCAGAAATGACACTTACCTTTTTAAACCTTTTTTTCTTGTGAATTTTGAGTCTGTTTTTGATCAGCATTCCTAAAGATGTTTTGCTATTTGAACCCTTGAGGTCATTCTTCGGGAGAGAGAGGAAAGGAAACAAAACCGCCTGCTGGAGGAGAGAGACCCGGCCCAAGTGGCCACCGAGGCTGGAGAAAAGGAAACTAGTAATAGTGAGAATCCTTCTGAAACAAGCCACGCTGACCATGACCAACATCTTCACACAGGTACGAAACACAGCACTGTAATATATTCACATGTGATCATTGTAGACAATTACTGAGGTTGATCAGAATATGAAATGTTTTAGTGTTGTCTAGCTTGGTAGCATCAGTGTTTTTCTAATATGCAGAATGAAATAGTCATAATTTGTATCAGATATAGATGACAACCCTGAACTCGTTGGTACTAAGGAGTCAGAGAGTGGCCAGCCTGGTTCACCGTCTCATCACAAGTTGGATGACAGCATGTCAGAAAATGCAACACTAAAATCCTGGAATCCTAATTCCATTCCCAACCTTCCTAAAATCCACAGCAGGAAGTTCAGAGAGTAAGAACATCAATTTTGTGTTTTGTTTTGTTTGTTTGTTTGTTTGTTTGTTTGTTTTTTCTTTTTCTATTGTTTTTTTTGTTTTGTTTTGTTTTTCAAACATATGCAAATTGTTCCCAAAAAGGCTTGAAGACGTGATTAAACGAATGCCTTATTTTCTGGTGATGATAAATAAATTTGAGAAATAATAACAATAATGATCATTTTGAACAACAGCAACAACAACAATAATAATAATAATTATAATTATTATGATTATTCTAACACTTTACAATAAGGTTCATTAGTTGATGTTAATTCATGCATTAACTAACATTTAACAATGAGCAATACATTTGTTACAGTGTTTATTAATCTTTGTTAATGTTAATAAAACTACAACTGTTCATTGTTAGTTCATGACCATTAATTAATATCAAAAGATATAACTGATTTTAATAATACATTAGTAAATGTTAAAATTAATATTAACTGACATTAATAAATGCTGTAGAAGTGTTTTTAATTTTTAGTTTGTTAATGTAGTTAACTAATGTTCACAACTGGAACCTTATTGTAAAATGTGATGATTATTATTATTGTCATTAATTAATTGATAACATTTATTTTTGCTAATTCAACAGCTACTGCAACCAAGTGCTTAGAAAAGATGTAGATGAATGTGTGAGCAGCTTACTGAAGGAGCTGGTGAGGTTTCAGGATCGTCTTTATCAGAAAGACCCCATGAAGGCCAGGATGAAGCGCAGGCTGGTCATGGGCCTACGAGAGGTGCTGAAACACCTCAAACTCAGGAAGGTCAAGTGTGTTATCATCTCGCCCAACTGTGAACGTATTCAGTCCAAAGGTAAAGTCAATTTACAGCACCAAACTCACATTTTGATTCATTGCTGCTGATGGAGGGCCTGTTTTGTTAATGTAGGCGGTCTAGACGAGGCTCTTCACACTATTATCGACACATGCCGGGATCAAGGCATCCCGTTTGTGTTTGCCTTGTCAAGGAAGGCGCTGGGCCGCTGTGTTAATAAAGCTGTGCCTGTTAGCTTGGTGGGCATTTTTAACTATGATGGCGCACAGGTAAGTACCAGAAGTTTCTGGTTATAGTTGTCGTAAATAGCTTTCCGTTATTGAGTTAGACTTCATCCTTTCAGATGTTTGTGAAGAATCTTGAGTGGCATTACTGTAAATATATGTCATGATATTGATACCGATTGTATAAAATTGGTGCACTTTGCTGATTTCTGTGTATTTGATGGCCACAGGACCAATATCACAAAATGATTGAGTTATCGGCTGAGGCCAGGAAGGCCTATGAGGTGATGATTGCAAATCCGGAGGCTGAATCACAGGAAGAACAGGAGGAGCAACGGGAGGTGGAGCCGTCAGGAGAACCTTCTGGAACTGAAGAGCCAGAGTACAGTACGTCCTAAATAAAGACTTAAAAATAGCATGAATTTATTGCTTTTGCATGCAGTACTGCAATTTCATTATCCTTTTAGTTAACTATTCTGTTAAACTACTCCATTAACTGTTAAATATGTAAATGTGTAATTTAGCTGCTGGGTCATTCCGTGTCAAATCAACCAAATTTCAGAAACTTCCCCAGCTCAAATTTTCATTTTAGTCAATATTTTTTCCTGAAGAAAGATAAGCATGTATAGTGATGAAAGCCAAAATATTAAATCTCATGGATGTATATTTACTCAGTAATCCAATATTTTGTAGCAGGTTGAGTTGACATGGAATGGCCCTGCTTTGTTTATAGGTAGGTTGGCCATGTATGTATAGACTCAAGAGTTTGTTTGTGTAATTATATCTCTATATGGTGGTTGGTTGAAAGGTTTAACATGAAATATATATATATATAAATCAAAGTTAAAATCAGATTAAAAGTGACGGTAAAGACTTTCCTATTGTTATAAAACATTTCTAGTTCTTTAGTGAATCCTGAAAAAATTTATGTTGTTTCCAAAAAAATATTAAAGGGGTCATATGATGCGATTTCAATTTTTCCTTTCTCTTTGGAGTGTTACAAGCTCTTGGTGCATAAAGAAGATCTGTAAAGTTGCAAAGACTAAAGTCTCAAATCCAAAGAGATATTCTTTATAAAAGTTAAGAGTCAGCCACACCTACCTAAAACGACTCGTTCTAACACGCCCCCACATATCTACGTCACGATGTGGGAATATTTGTATAACGCCGCTCCAAATGTTCACACAAAGAAAGAAGGCATAACTTTTATTCTCGCTGTAGTTTTGTTGTTGCCGCCGCTGCCATGTTGTGAAGACGCTGTGTGTTTCGTTGTAAAAGCGAAACTACTTTGTTTGGTCTTCCAAAAGAGGACGAGGAAATACATCAACTTCGCGCTGTGGATCGCCGGATCGGCTTTCACCGTGGACGAAGCGGAGTCCAGGCGTAACATTTCCGTCACACGGTTGAGGTATTCGGCCAATCAGAGCACAGCTCGCTTTTCAGACCGATGAGCTTTGTAAAAATCAACGCGTTTCAGAAAGGCGGGGCAAAAAGGAGAAACAATAATGTACAGTACGTGGAAAATGTTTTTTGAACCTTAAACCGCATAAACACATTTCATTACACCAAATACACAAAATAATGTTCTTTTTAGCAGCATCATATGACCCCTTTAAGCAGCACAGATGTTTTCTACATAGGTAGTAAAACATTTTTTTTTTAGAAATGTTTTATAACAAAAATAAGTTGTGGCCTAATGGTTAGAGAGACAGACTCGTAAGCCAAAGGTTGCGGGTTCGAGTTTCGTACCGGCAGGAATTGTAGGTGGGGGGAGTGAATGTACAGCGCTCTCTCCCACCTTCAATACCACGACTGAAGTGCCCTTGAGCAAGGTACTGAACCCCCCACTGCTCCCCGGGCGCCGCAGCAAAAAAAATGGCTGTTCACGGTGTGTGTGTGTGTGTGTTCACTGCTGTGTGTGCACTTTGGATGGGATAAATGCAGAGCACTAATTCCGAGTATGGGTCACCATACTTGGCCACATGTCACGTCACATATTAGAATGATTTCTAAACATCATGTGACACTGAAGCCTGGAGAAATGACTGCTGAAAATTCAACTGTCATCACAGGAATAAATACAATTTTAAAATATATTCAAATAGAAAAAAATAGTACAATATTTCACACTATTACAGTTTTTGTTCTTTTATTGTAAAATAAGAGTAAATAAATGGCAATCACAAAATAGCCAATTATTGATTGAATAATCAGCCTGATAGGAGTTTTTGAAAGCATCATTAAAGTGGTTATAATTTGTTGCATATGTGACGTGAAAACGTGTTTTAATTTATAAGAATTATCCACTCACTCTTCACTCCGTTTCTGTTTTCTCAGTGAAAATCTGGAAGAAAATGCTTGAGAAAGATTACAACCACCCTTTCCTAAATTTTGAGGACCAGTTTTCATCCATTTCTATTTGTTCAGAGCAGCTGCTAGATGACCATGAAGGAGGAAGTTGATGGAAGTACATCGACGAATGAGACAAAATGCCTGTTTTTGTTTGTTTTGCAGAGCTGAGGTCACGCTTCTGTGACACGGAAACGGATCACTACAGAATTTCCAACCCCGCGTGAGCCTTTAGCACCCTGTGAAAAATGTCAGGAATAGCTTGAAGTACCAAATGTGCCTGTCTAGAGGATTTTATGAAATAATGTAAAGAGGCAACACAGGTGAAAATAGAGAACAGCCCTTGACTAAAAATATTTTCTTATAGATATCACATACTTAGTTTGATGTTTCCACAGTCCGAATAGTGAATATTTTTGAAAATAGCTATTATCCCTCTATTTCTATTCAAATAAGTGTAATAGTTTGATAAAATGACAGAAACAATCTGAATCATTTAATTTATGTACATGTTTACATTTGTAAATCAAATGTATTTTTCTTCTCCAGTTGGATGCACAATTTTACTGATCATGACCACTGTGTTTGCAGCCCACGTGTCGTCATTATCGGCAGGGTCTAGTTAATTCTGAAGGCTCATAAAGTGAATGATTGTTGTGACCATGAGCTGTTTGTGGGAATACATCACTTACCTAAATCCTAGACCTCACTTTTAATTTATAATTCTCCTCTGGCTGTTCCTCAACACTAGCTAAACCATTAATACTGAGTGCTCGAGGTGCTTCTCCTTAAAATTCTCAGTGTTAGTTTAGCTCTATGCCTTTATGCTGTTGACTGCAGTTAATAGGGAATGTGTGTTATGCACTTGTGTAGTACTCAGTGGTCTATGGCATATGTAGCATAGAGCTAACAATTCAAAACTTCACTTAGCAGTAACGAATCATTTTCACATATAAACCATTTTACCTGCTTCTATGTATTTTCAGAATGTTGACTTTGGGACCAAAAACAACTGTGATTGTGAAGGTTTTGGAATTTTCTCTAGTATTTGCAATAAATGATCTTATTCTTGAAAGACCATTATAAATGAATAGAAATCAGTAATGAATCTGCAGTGCTTAAAAGGGATAGTTCACCAAAGTGAAAATTCTGTCATCATTTACTGACCCTCCAGTTGTTCTTTCCTGCTAAACACAAAACAAGATATTTTGGATAATGTTGGTAACCAAATAGTTTCTGGTCCTTGTTGACTTCCATTATATATACATTTTTTCCATATTATGGAAGTCAGTGGGGACCAGCAACTGTTTGGTTACCAGCATTCTTCAGAATTTATGTTCAACAGAAGAAAGAAACTCACACAGGTTTGAAACAACTTGATGGTGAGTAAATGACCTTTGATTTTTTTGGGTGAGCTACTCCTTTAAAGGGATGATTGACTTAAAAATTCAACTTCTGCCCTCAGGTTTCCACTATCATGGCATTCCAAGCCCATGAGACTTTTGTTCAGCTTCAAAACCTGAGAAATTTGTTCCTCTGTAAAAAGTCCTTTCACCCAAACATGTAACAATTCAAAAAGTTCATGAAGAGATTGTAGAAGAAAACCTATGAGCGGTTTAATCCAAGTCTACTAAATGATCATGACATGATCACTTTACATACTGAACAGATTCACTTTAGGCTTTTATTCACGTATTAACATTGATCAACACACAAATACAATAAACTGCTTGATTCATATGGATTACTTTTATGTCTGAACTTTTTGAACCATCAACGTTTTGGTGAAATAGACTTCAATGGACAGTTCAAAATGACATTCAATTATATTTTCTTTTTTGTTTTGAAATGGTATGAGGGTGAGTAAATGATGACAGAATTTAGGTGAACTGTCCCTTTAAATGTAATTATCAGGAAAAACATACCATGACATCTAACCTCACCCCAAATATTGGAAAAATGTATGTTTTTTTCTTCTAGGCTATTTGAGAATGTGAAAAAAATGTTAACTGATCTGGAATAAAACCACCACTTGGCTGAACCAGTTCTTAGAAAATGCTGCTTTTATCCATCTGTGTTCAACGTCTTTGTAATATAACTTTTTATTTTAGCTCAAGACAATTGATTAAAAAAATGTGCAAAACTGGTGTTTATTGAAATGTTATGGTCAAAAATAAAATAATTCCTAACCTTTGATTTTCTCTGGACAATGTCCAGCAGTGGATAGAAAACTGAAAGAATGTAATAAACCAGCATCCCAGCGTCAAAACATACCTAACCAGCATGAGCTGTTTTTTTCAACAGGGCAAGCGACATACAAATACTAGATCTAGTTCAATAAATACACAGTAAAGTCTTTAGCTGTTTTGGCCAAAGAAATCTCACACTTTTTATATTCATAGTATCATTGTGAATAAATATACAAAAGGAGCTCATAGTTTCCATTAAACTATGCCCATTTTTAGCAACAATCAACTTTCAAAGATCAGGAGCAGCAAGCATTGAGAAAAGTGCCAGGTCTCAAGAGAAAGTGGCAGAAACTCATAGTGGGATGTTTTGTGGATGTCTGCTATGAGGTAGTAGGTTGAAGAAACATTTGAAAGGTTTAAAAATTAATATAATGCTCTTTAGTGGGGTATTTTTGAACAGCGGTTGGTCAATGTGTAATGGTTTGAATGACGCTGCCTTTTAATCTAATTTTCAACCCATTACTGCAGCTTCCTGCTGTTTAGCCTGAATTATCCACAGAAACTGTGCGAACTGTATCTGTAGTTGTGCATACTGACAGATACAACATAGCAGGGGTGCGTTTCCCAAAAGCATTGCTAGCCAACTATGGTTGCAAATTGGCAGTTTCCAGAAATCATAGTTCCAACGAACAAAAATGGCATCGCAAAGTCATGTGGATGGAACTACAGCTCTCACCCTGTAGTTACAACCATTTCTTGTTAGAATGACATGTGGATCAACAGATCATGTGCTTGAGTAAAATACGCAAGCTGACATAGAATATATATACAAATTTAATTCTATGTCTTTTAGTTTGTCAAGAGAATGAAAGCGCAGTTTCTTAAGAGTGTGAACAATGTTCGCCATTGTATTGCTTCATTCGCGGTTCATTGACACTCTTCAAAAAAGATATTATAGTCCTCAGATGCCATGTTTGTTATCGATAATCTGACATTAATTTGATCTGAAATGATTCATTAGCAGAAGTAATTACTCCACCAGCGTGACCTCAGTAACGACAGTTCTAGATTGTCGAACCAGTGTGGTTCAAATGATCAGTCAGCAGTTTCAGGAATCAGTTATGAATAGTTATGTCACTGTACAGGAAACACACCCCGGATCGCTGAAAGAACCCTTCTCACATCTCTACTCACAAAGTGCTTAACAGTTTGAACAGAACACAACCAGACAAAATAATCCCAAACCTCTGAAGTTAAAGTCACAAAATAGTCAAGATTCACTTGAAAATGTTGTCAGGGTTTCCAAGTATCCCAGAGGTTCAAAAACACCTCCCGTTTCCTCAGCTTCAGATGTTTTGTCACATTTGACCTCTTTGTGTCCCTGTACAGGGATGTTGTCTTGTAGTACAAGGATGTTATCACTGATAACGTCACTGACCATACTGTAGTCCTCCCTGACCAGAGGTTTCTGGTCTTCGTCAACCTCAATGTACTCCGAAAGTCCAGCAGGGTTGATGCTGACGTGCTCACAATTACTACCGGAGCTCATTTGAGTGTTTTGGTCCTGAGCTTTTACTGGTGAGCCATTGCAATTAAGGTGAAGTAGTTGTTGAGGCTCTCCAAGGACACTTAGCTGATTGGAAACGGTCCCAGAGTGGACATTTTCGCTCAGTGTTGTTTTTAGATCCTGGCTGCTGTTCAATGAGATCTTGATGCTGTTTTGAGAGACCTTTTGTGCATTATCTGTGGGACGATTTTCTCCCTTGTGGTACTCGAGATGAGCTTTGCCATCAAAATCCATTTCCTTATCATAGTCGGAGACCACGAGGTACTCCACTTGACGGTCTGAACTCTGGGCTATTTGAGGATATCCTGGAGTAATCAGAGCACTGAAGATCTCCTCAGACTTCCCACTCTGTGAAATGAGAAGTAAAATGACTTTTGTATATTGGAACTGCAGTTTTGTGGGGTCAGTTCATCGTCTGTTAGAAAGTTTTTTGAAAATCCCCTCCTATTTTTGTGACCATGATTGAAGATTTCAACAGACTGTTCTGAGAAAGTGTCACAATGTAATGCAAATTTTGTGAAGAAGCTGTTATTGACGAATTGGACAGTTCAAAATTTATATTGGATTTAACAGCAAACCCACAGCTGTTTAAACTTTACATTGAAGGGGATAGTTCCCCCAAAAATGAAATTCTGTCATCATTTACTCCTGTGGAACACAAAAACGATATTTTGAAGAATGTTGATAACCAAACAATCGGTCCCTGTTCACTAACTTTATTATATTTTTGACCATACAATGAAAGTAAATAGGAACCAAAACTGTTTGGTTACCAACATTCTTCAAAATATCTTCTATGTTTCACAGAAAATACAAAGTCATACAGGTTTATCCTGTAAAAATACATTAAAAAAAACCTCAAAAGTAAAACTAATCTGCACTACAAAACAAATCTGCACCTTAGAAAAATGAATTAATAAAATATGATATGATATAACGCATGGATTATGGTAGTGTCTGCTGTACCTTAAGGAGCTGAGTGTCTAAGCCACTGATTTTCGGTTCTGGAACTGGTGGCAGTAAAAAATGCTTCACCCTAGAGAGGAATAAGGAAATACAGAATTAACTTGCCATCATATTATTTTATTTTATTATCATAATTATAAACATACTGGTTGTAGTGCAAGTTGTTTCATCCTTCGGTAAAGTTTTGCACTTTGTTATTCTTATAGTTACTGACATATAGCAGCTAATAAATCAGAAGGAAAATTGTTTTGAAAAATAAAGTGAATACAATGTTATATTAAAGGGGTCATATGATGCTGCTAAAAAGAACATTATTTTGTGTATTTTGTGTAATGAAATGTGTTCATGTGGTTTAAGGTTCAAAAAACACATTACTTTCCACATACTGTACATTATTGTTTCTCCTCTATGCCCCGCCTTTCTGAAATGTGTCGATTTTTACAAAGCTCATCGGTCTGAAAAGCGAGGTGTGCTGTGATTGGCCAGCTATCCAGTGCGTTGTGATTGGCCGAATACCTCAAGCGTGTGATGGAAATGTTACGATACCATACCATATTGTGATGCCTTGTCCCGGCCGGAGCGACGAGACAAAAACATGAAAACCCATTATAAACCAGGCATTTGTTGCATCCAGTGGGGACATAATTACTGATTATAATGACTTATACTGTCTTTTTACGCGTTGCATTGCATCGCGCCACGTAAACATAAACTAGTCTCAACTTTTATAAAGAATATCTCTTTGGGTTTGAGACTTCAGTCTTTGCAACTTTAGGGATCTTATCTATTCACGAACAGCTTGTAACACTCCAAAGAGAAAGGAAAACTTGAAATCGCATCATATGACCCCTTTAATGTTCAATTTGTGTCACACATTAGTGTAGAGAATACTGTATTCTGTAGGAAAATCTGGGAAAACTTATCTTTTTATGTACAGTTATCAGTGTAAATCCCTTTGTCATTGTGATAAGGTGGGTGGGATATCATGCTTACGGTTTCATCTTGACTGTCAGCACTCCTGCAGTCAACAGGAAAATGATGACGGTTAGCGTGACGGCAATAATCATAACCGCATTCTGCGTGTCAGACATATCTGCAATGTGAGAAACACGAAGCCTTGTTTACATTTTCACTTTCAGTTTTCATCATCTTTTAATGCTGTACTGTATAATGAGTTGAAATAGATCTAAAGGCAGAATTAAACATTTATTCATATTTCATTTTTAATATAGCCTGGACACTGTTATGCAAGGCTAAAAATGCTGAGTAATGCAGCACAATGGTTGGAGGTGTGAAAGATTGGATTGCTGGAGCTGGTATCATCTTACCGTCTGGAATCTGGATGAATGCAGAGGGGCTCCATTCACTCCAGAGGCCGTGGTCTAGTTTACAGCGCACTTGCACAACGTAACTTGCTCCAGGCTGCGGACTGTAGATGCTGAACTCCAATTGTTTTCCAGCACTATATGACTAAAAACACAAGAACCAAAACTACGTCTCAGTCATAATTACATTACATGGTTTCAAAACTTTTAAATGCAAAAATTAGACTCCTAATACAAAAATATGTTCTTTTTGATAATAAGTTGATAATAATTAATTAAAACTAGTGCTGTCAAACGATTAATCGCATCTAAAATAAAAGTTTTTGTTTACATAATGTGTGTGTGAACTGTGTATATTTATTATGTATATATATATATATATATATAAATACACTCATACAGTATATATATTGAGAATATATTTACATGTATATATTTATATAATATATAAATATATTTAATATACAAATATAACATATTTTTCTTAAATTTATACATGTATGTGTGTGTATTTATATATACATAATAAATATACACAGTACACACATTTTATGTAAACAAAAACTTTTATTTTGGATGCGATTAATCGTTTGACATTTTTATATAAATACATTATATGGAATGTTTTTTTTTATTAGAAAAATACATAAACCTTTATGGTTTAAATATTATATCAGTCCCAGTTGAAAGCCCTGGCCTTAAATAGTTTTGATTTTAAAAAGAAAAATTACAAAGCATAAGAACATTTAAGAACCTTGATGACCTTGAAACGATTTGAATCTCACCTCCCAACTGCTGTCCTCCTTGTCTCCGCTGTTCTCAATTTTTAAGCGAACTTCATATTTGATTGTTACCCAGCCTGAACGCGTGTCTGCGTCATGCGGAGGCTGCCACTGCACCAGGAAATAGGGGCTGTTCGTGGTCTGAATGAAAGTCACATTCACATTCTCTGGAGCGTGAGGCTGCACTGTGTGGAACAAGATCAATCATCTTAAATGGCAATCAACTGCACAGACATTAGAATAGTAGAATCAGTGACAACAATATATGTACTAAAAAAGGAAATAAACTGAATGCGGTCTACATGGATACTTTTTTTAAATGATCTTTTAAATGCTAAATACATTTTGAACTTAATCAAACCATGAAAAAATATATTACTGTTTCCACAAAAATATTAAGCAGCACAATATGTTTTCAACATTATTGATAAGAAATGTGTCTTGAGCACCAAATCAGCATATTAGAAATAAAATATATTCAAATATATTCAAATAGAAAACTGTTCTTTTAAATTGTAATAATATTTCACAATATTACTCTTTTATTGTATTTTTGATCAAATAAATGCATCCTCGATGAACATGAGATGTCTTTTAAAAAAATTTTTTTTTTATCATAATGATCCCAGCCTTTGAACAGTAGTGTATTTATGCTCATAATGCATTAATTAAAAAACAGAGCATCACCCATGTGCCATATGCCAGCGCATTCAAGCATCTGCAGTGGGATTTTCGATACATAGCTCGAGTTTTGCAGTATGCAAGACACAAACCTGTTCATCCTCATTCTGTTCAGTTAGTCAGCCAGAGATGCTTCTGTTTAGTGCCATTTAGTACTTTTCTATTCCACTCAGATGCTCTAAAAGTCTTCATTGTTTAACTCACCGTTACAGATGGAAGAGCCCAGTGCGCACACATGTCTAGCTGAACTGGTTTAAGGGAAATTGCAACTAAACTATGTAACTGCACATGCAGTGTTATCTGTCTTGTGTTCTAGTATGATGATCTAACCGAAAGTTAAAAAGTTCAAAGAATAAATGTTTCACCGTAAAGATTTTGCTGATTTTGCTGTGTGTGCCCTTATGTAGCCACAGGAAATCTTTATATATGCTATATTTAGTGTGTGGCTGTTGTCAAAACAACGCTGAAATTGGCCTCTGTAGTAAAACATCATTAACCATTCATGCATGGTCAGTATACACTAGGGATATATTGCAAGCACATAAAAACAAAAGCATTTCTGGATGCATTTCAATATTTTGTAAACATTACATGAACTCACCGATATCCATAACATCAACTTCTACAGATTCCGAATAGGCTTTTCCCAGTGCATTGGAGGCCACCACTGTGATGTTGTATATGATCCAAATAGACGTGTGTTGCTTATCAAAATAACAGGAATTGTTTCCCGCCTTATGATAATCCGGACAGTCAAAGACTTCCAAAGAACTGAAAAAGTTTTTGATAGTTTAAAGTTTAAAATTAATGATTTGTTGACTAATCTTTTGACAACAAATGAACCAAAACCTGTGATTTCTTATCAAATGTGTAAACATGAACTAATTTACTATACTAGGTTTAGTGTGTTTATTAATAAGTGTGTGTGTGGTGTACAAATTAAACAAATATTTAGAAAATAAGACAAAATGAAGATCAGAACTATCATACCAAAGATTAATTGTGAAAGAAATTAATACTTTTATTCAGCAAATATGCTTTAAACCCATCGAAGTGACTGTAAATACATTTGTAATGATACAAAAAAATTGCTGCTTCAAACAAATGTTCTTTTGATGTTTCCATTCATCAAAGAAATCTGGAAAAAAAAAAAAGTATTGCAGTTTCCAAAAAAAACTATTAAATAGCACAGCTGTTTTCAACATTGAAAATGATAAGAAATATTTCTTGAACACCAAATGAGCATATCAGAATGATTTCTGAAAGATCATGTGACACTGATGATTGCATGCTTAATAACGCTGAAAATTCAGCTTTGCAATTACCAGGAATTCATTGCATTTTATAATATATGAAAATAGACAAGTTACTTTACTTTGTGATATTTCACAATATTACTTGTTTTACTGTATTTATTATCAACTAAATGCAGCCTTGGTGAGCACAAGTGACTTCTTTCAAAAACTTTATAAAATCTTACAGACCCTAAATTTTTGAATGGTAGTGCATAATAATATTAATTTTGAAATGAACCTGTTATTAATTTGAAATACAGCATAGATTTTGAAAGACCTAGAATCTCATTGAACCTTGAAACCTTTACTATAAAGTAAGCATGCACTTTTAGTTAGTTATATGATATAGTTTATTTTTGCTGTCTTTTTCTTAGAAGTATTTTATTCATGTTGTCAAGTTTAGATGTTGCTTTTATTCATTTCTCGCCATGAAAATGGCATGAAGTATCAACCTGAAACTTCACGTTCAGTAAATCTCTTTGATATATTAAAAGGACCTTGGGCTGTAGACTCCATTAATGTTTCTGTTTTGCTCTTAGCTTCCTCACTGGGCCTGTGATTTATCGCCGCAGCGTGTTGGAACTGTGGACAGAGGGTCATTTGCTTTCCTCCTGTCCTCCCCAGTGCACCCACCTGTACGCTACCGCTATTCCTCCAGAGAACAAAAGCTCTCCGTAACAGAGGACAACACCAAGTACATCTCCCTCACTGAGTTTAACACGACACGCCTGCAGGCAGCCAGTCAGGTATGAGTCATTTAAATGTGAGAAGTCTTAAAGGTATTGTGGTACAAATAGGTACTGTGTTTTTAGGATGGTACAATGGTGCCTTTGACTCTCCTCCGCATGCAGGCATTATCTGAGCTGCATAAGGCTCCACTGCTCATGCATGTATATGGAGCTTATGGTGTTGAACTCAATATGGCCTTCAGTCCTGAGAAGAGACTGCTGCTGGAGGACGGCTGGGCTCTGGCCTCATCATTAACCATTCATGCATGGTCAGTATACACTAGGGATATATTGCAAGCACATAAAAACAAAAGCATTTCTGGATGCATTTCAATATTTTGTAAACATTACATGAACTCACCGATATCCATAACATCAACTTCTACAGATTCCGAATAGGCTTTTCCCAGTGCATTGGAGGCCACCACTGTGATGTTGTATATGATCCAAATAGACGTGTGTTGCTTATCAAAATAACAGGAATTGTTTCCCGCCTTATGATAATCCGGACAGTCAAAGACTTCCAAAGAACTGAAAAAGTTTTTGATAGTTTAAAGTTTAAAATTAATGATTTGTTGACTAATCTTTTGACAACAAATGAACCAAAACCTGTGATTTCTTATCAAATGTGTAAACATGAACTCATTTACTATACTAGGTTTAGTGTGTTTATTAATAAGTGTGTGTGTGGTGTACAAATTAAACAAATATTTAGAAAATAAGACAAAATGAAGATCAGAACTATCATACCAAAGTTTAATTGTGAAAGAAATTAATACTTTTATTCAGCAAATATGCTTTAAACCCATCGAAGTGACTGTAAATACATTTGTAATGATACAAAAAAATTGCTGCTTCAAACAAATGTTCTTTTGATGTTTCCATTCATCAAAGAAATCTGGAAAAAAAAAAATGTATTGCAGTTTCCACAAAAAACTATTAAAGAGCACAGCTGTTTTCAACATTGAAAATAAATCAATCAATATTGATAAGTAATATTTCTTGAGCAATAAATCAGCATATTAGTATGATTTCTGAAGGATCATGTGACACTGAAGACTGGAGTAATGATGCTGAAAATACAGCTTTGCCATCACAGGAATAAATAAAATAAAAAAGTAAAATGTCTAAAACATATTAAACAAGAAAAAAGTCAACTGTAATATATTACACAATATTACAGTTTTTACTTTTGCTTGGTGAGCAAAAGAGACTTCTTTCAATAACTGAACCAAAACGCTAAAACATTAAAACATTAAAAAATGTTTCGTCTGCTCGTTCTGAGGTGCAATCATTTATTCTATAGGAAAATTATTATATTCAGTAGCTTCTCCTACTTTTCTTAGTGATGTATAGTGCCAGTTTATCAGGAAGTGATGATTTTGTTCTCTTTGACTCGTTGGATGGAAACGGTGCTTGTTCGCAAATGTTTTGTGCGATATTCCAATTTTGGATGGAAACCCGGCTAATGAGGCAACTACCCATATTCTGATACAGGGAAAAAAGAATGGAAATATACTTTTTTGACAGCAAGCTGAACAATGCTGAATAGCGATGTAGGCTGCACTCACCTCTCTTTTCTGAAATACAGGTGGTAGCTGGTGGGCAGTCCACCTGTTGATCCAGGCTCCCACCAGCAAGTGAACGTCTCTTTCTCAGGCGACCGACATCTTGTTAGTGTGGGCCTCCCCGGAGGAGAAAGACCTGGAAAGATAGTGTAATTCAAGAGTATATGAAAACATATCTGTAAGAATATTAGGACTAAACTAAAAGTGGTATTCAAAGACTAACAGAATATTATTGAATGCTGCAAATAGCCCATATTATTATTTCGTGTGTTGTAAAGTATTTATGGGTGTTTCATATACTGAAAACTAACATGTATTATTAGAATTCTTTGAATTATACTACTTTTCAATTCAGTATAGAATTTAAAAATCTGTATACTGTTTGCTGATGGATTGTATATAAACAAAAGGCCTCCTAATGATTAAATTATAGAAAATCGCTCACCAAAACCCAATAGTTTACAACAACAACAAAAAATCGATAAACACAACAACAACTGCCTGAATTTATTCTTTGAAACTGTTTCCCTCACTTACACATGCTGTGTGAGGTCCAAGAGAGAAGCCATATCAGAGTCAGTGCCTGCTCTGCATCTCTCCACATTTTTCCTGTCAATGAAGTGTCCACACCACCTGTAGAGCTTGTTTCTACATGAAACATCAATCTAGATCTGCAAAACAACCACTTAGCATGTGTAAACAACACCTTCACTCATCACGACAGCTAAAAGGTCATCATGTGTACAAAATTGTATGCAATTTAGCACTGAGTTAACTCTGTGCCAAGATGATTTTATCTGATTTCATGAATCTTTTCTTATCATGATCAGTGATAACAACACAGTGATGTACTGGTACAGAATTTGTCTTGTCTCAGAACTGATCAATGATTATTTCTGACAGCACGGTAATGTACAAGGTTATAAACACAAGGCATCAACAAAAGAGTCGAACACTGCAAACACAGGTGCAGAGAGGTGATTTAATGGAAAGTTACTGCCTTGGAAATGAATGAGTTCCAATGAGAGACAGTTCGAAAGGGCAATCAATCTGCTTTATGTTTTTGGATCATTGTAGAAAAACACTTTGCTACAGTCTTTGAATTGCATCTATATTCTTCATTTTATATTTATTTTATGTTTCGATTTCCATGAGTATGCCATCAGCTTTATTTGCAAATACGTAGGTAGCCAAGAACGAGATTTACCCAAATGGAACAAGCTATTGTCTGTGGTCAGTACAGTCCTTTATTTTCCCACATTATAGAAGGAAGTGGATTAAAGTCCAGGTTTAAATGACCTCAAAACATTTGACATTAACTTTCTCAGAACTATCATACCAAAGTTTAATTGTGAAAGAAATTAATACTTTTATTCAGCAAATATGCTTTAAACCCATCGAAGTGACTGTAAATACATTTGTAATGATACAAAAAAATTGCTGCTTCAAACAAATGTTCTTTTGATGTTTCCATTCATCAAAGAAATCTGGAAAAAAAAATGTATTGCAGTTTCCACAAAAAACTATTAAAGAGCACAGCTGTTTTCAACATTGAAAATAAATAAATCAATATTGATAAGTAATATTTCTTGAGCAATAAATCAGCATATTAGTATGATTTCTGAAGGATCATGTGACACTGAAGACTGGAGTAATGATGCTGAAAATACAGCTTTGCCATCACAGGAATAAATAAAATAAAAAAGTAAAATGTCTAAAACATATTAAACAAGAAAAAAGTCAACTGTAATATATTACACAATATTACAGTTTTTACTTTTGCTTGGTGAGCAAAAGAGACTTCTTTCAATAACTGAACCAAAACGCTAAAACATTAAAACATTAAAAAATGTTTCGTCTGCTCGTTCTGAGGTGCAATCATTTATTCTATAGGAAAATTATTATATTCAGTAGCTTCTCCTACTTTTCTTAGTGATGTATAGTGCCAGTTTATCAGGAAGTGATGATTTTGTTCTCTTTGACTCGTTGGATGGAAACGGTGCTTGTTCGCAAATGTTTTGTGCGATATTCCAATTTTGGATGGAAACCCGGCTAATGAGGCAACTACCCATATTCTGATACAGGGAAAAAAGAATGGAAATATACTTTTTTGACAGCAAGCTGAACAATGCTGAATAGCGATGTAGGCTGCACTCACCTCTCTTTTCTGAAATACAGGTGGTAGCTGGTGGGCAGTCCACCTGTTGATCCAGGCTCCCACCAGCAAGTGAACGTCTCTTTCTCAGGCGACCGACATCTTGTTAGTGTGGGCCTCCCCGGAGGAGAAAGACCTGGAAAGATAGTGTAATTCAAGAGTATATGAAAACATATCTGTAAGAATATTAGGACTAAACTAAAAGTGGTATTCAAAGACTAACAGAATATTATTGAATGCTGCAAATAGCCCATATTATTATTTCGTGTGTTGTAAAGTATTTATGGGTGTTTCATATACTGAAAACTAACATGTATTATTAGAATTCTTTGAATTATACTACTTTTCAATTCAGTATAGAATTTAAAAATCTGTATACTGTTTGCTGATGGATTGTATATAAACAAAAGGCCTCCTAATGATTAAATTATAGAAAATCGCTCACCAAAACCCAATAGTTTACAACAACAACAAAAAATCGATAAACACAACAACAACTGCCTGAATTTATTCTTTGAAACTGTTTCCCTCACTTACACATGCTGTGTGAGGTCCAAGAGAGAAGCCATATCAGAGTCAGTGCCTGCTCTGCATCTCTCCACATTTTTCCTGTCAATGAAGTGTCCACACCACCTGTAGAGCTTGTTTCTACATGAAACATCAATCTAGATCTGCAAAACAACCACTTAGCATGTGTAAACAACACCTTCACTCATCACGACAGCTAAAAGGTCATCATGTGTACAAAATTGTATGCAATTTAGCACTGAGTTAACTCTGTGCCAAGATGATTTTATCTGATTTCATGAATCTTTTCTTATCATGATCAGTGATAACAACACAGTGATGTACTGGTACAGAATTTGTCTTGTCTCAGAACTGATCAATGATTATTTCTGACAGCACGGTAATGTACAAGGTTATAAACACAAGGCATCAACAAAAGAGTCGAACACTGCAAACACAGGTGCAGAGAGGTGATTTAATGGAAAGTTACTGCCTTGGAAATGAATGAGTTCCAATGAGAGACAGTTCGAAAGGGCAATCAATCTGCTTTATGTTTTTGGATCATTGTAGAAAAACACTTTGCTACAGTCTTTGAATTGCATCTATATTCTTCATTTTATATTTATTTTATGTTTCGATTTCCATGAGTATGCCATCAGCTTTATTTGCAAATACGTAGGTAGCCAAGAACGAGATTTACCCAAATGGAACAAGCTATTGTCTGTGGTCAGTACAGTCCTTTATTTTCCCACATTATAGAAGGAAGTGGATTAAAGTCCAGGTTTAAATGACCTCAAAACATTTGACATTAACTTTCTATTTCGGTGCCAGACAACTTAAATATTTATTTTCATCTTAGCAGCAGCAAGTTTGACAACACGACTACCAAAAAATAATATGTACATATTTTACATAATATACATTCCTACACATTCTTATCAAATAATATAAGTAGGCCTGTCACGATAACAACTTTTTGTTGTGCGATATATTGCCCCAGAAATAATTGCGATAAGTGATATTATTGTAATTTTAAAGACCATTTTATGCCACTGACTATATAATCATAATGTAACAGCATAATAATTAACAAACTTAATTTTTAAGAATATTTAGATCATGGAAATTAAGTATCAAAATATTAGATACCTTAAAAACATGAATAAATAGTAAATAAACATTTTCTAACAAAAAGTGCAAAGTAACAAGTACAAAAAAAAAGAAAAATGCACAAAGAACTTGTATGGAGATTCTTTCATCTACAGATTTTTCCCAGAGCTTCTTTTCTCTATAAAATAAGGGTGCACACAATTGCTGAAAAACACAATCACTACTCAGCAGTCAGATGTCCGTATGCACAAAGGCACAGATCCCTAAAAATTGTTTTAATTTGAACTAGCACCAACTACACCACGTTATGTACGAGAAGCTGCAAAAGACACAGGCGCAAGTGGAATTTAAAAAACACGATGACATTCATTTTTAAGGAAAAATAATGGGCGATATATTGCGTCTCCAAAAATGATTGAGGTCATGTACATATATTGCGCGATAAGTCGATATATTGATTATTTCGACAGGCCTAAATATAAGGTGATCAGTGTGAAAATCTAAATTGACCAGGAATGGTCTTCTAAAAACTGCTTGTAAATCTCTTATTATGCTATATTATCACCAAATCTTGAATTCAACCTTTTTGTCAACTTGTTTTCTTTCAGTTTGCACCGGTTATTTCTTTTTGGAACTGACTGGTTGTAGGCCTCATTGATCTGAGCTTATGCACCTCCATTTTTAAGTGGAAAATAAGCATTATTTGTGGATGTTTACTCAAAAACTGAGGTGTATGAGCTCAGATCAATGAGGCCTATGATCAACCAGTTCTAAAAAGAAATACAAAACCTGTGCTAACTGGAGGAAAAGGTTGATAAAAAGTTGAATCCATTATTTGGAAGTAATCACAAATTTATAAGATTTTTTACAAGTGATCAAGAACTCCACTAGTGTAACAAGGTGTGGGGGGGGGGGGGGGGGGATTGTTCCGGCAAACAATTTCCAAAAGAAATT